CCTGCTCCTACCTCCCCTGCTTTGCTGTCCAGCGTGTTTCCCCGAGCTGAAATCAGGTGGGGGAACTGCAGCCGAGTCCCACTGTGCCCAGCCAGCTCTCCTCTCCTTCCAGCTGCTCCACACCAGAAACGGAATACAAAAGATGGGCTTTGCATTTGTGGTGTTTTTTTTTTTTAAGCTCAGAACTTTTTTCTCATCTCCACAGCCTTAAAGGACACAGGGCTAAGCTGACCTCAACCTGAAGCCCCCTCTCAGAGCTTCGGTTAGGCTGGCAAAACCCTTTTGAACAGGGACCATGGTACACAGGACAGAGGATTTTCAAAAAGCCCCATCACAAGGACACGGTGCAGGCAGTGACCACCCCCCCACCCCCAGCAGCGATGCTCAACTCCCACGTCCCGCGCAGCAGTCGTAACCTCCCTCCCCTCATCCCCTGCCTATAAAACAGGGATGGCAACGCAAGGACTCGCAACTTAGACTGGATGGGAATAAAGGAGGTAAACTAATCCCTAGAAGCCTGACCATCCCCTAGAGAAATGCAGGAGGACGAGGGCTGGCTGCTGCCTCCCAGCCCCAGCAGAGCACCCCGTCCCCAAGGGGCACCCCGCAAGGTGCTGCTCCTCCCGCATCCCTCCCCGCATCTTCTGGGAGGGCCAGAGCTCGACTTGTTTATGCTGCCACGAATTCCCCAGCCTGTAAACAGTCAGCCCAGAGCCTGCCAAGGGAAGAACAATGTTTTCCAACCGCGTTGCAGCACGGGCTTTCATACCACACACAGCGCTGCCAAGGCAAAGCCTGGCCCTCTCCTGAACATCCCTCCCCATCTGCAAAGCAGAAAGCCGAGGTGCTGCCACAGCAGAGCCTCCTCGCAAAGGGATGGGTGCTTCTTCTGGCAGGGAAATGGGGGCTCAGCTCATGCAATCTCGCTTGCAAACTCTCAGGATCAGTGCTGCAATCCCTCTGCCCTGGGAGTGCTGCTCCACTGGCAGCAAAGAGCTGGGTTTGTTAAAAAAACCTTGCAAGAACCAGTTCTGCAGTGACCAGGGTTTGCAGCAATCTCCCAGCCCAGGGAGTCCTCCCCATAGATCAATCTGTGCATCAAAAAACCCAAATGGGAAAGGCAGAGCATCAGCAGAGCTCACTGGGAAGCTACAGCACGCTAATATCTTTTACAGAATTAGCAAACTCTGGATCAGGCTCTCCTGTAACCCCAGGAAGCCCCCCCGGGCTGTGGGGGCTCCCACCCCCATGGGCATCCCTGCACAACCCCGCAGCCCTACGCAGCTCCTGGCAGGAGGAAGCAGGATGGTGAGGTCCCACCGCCACACCATGGGCCGTGGCCTGGGCTTTCCTCTTCTCATCCCCCTGTACCTCCCCGGGGAAACTGAGGCAGGGTGAGCTGCTGCCTGCACAGCCCAGTTCACACAAGGGGCTCCACGGGACCAGGCCAGACATCGATAGCTGGCAAAAAGCAGAAAAGGCTCATTTCTTTTCTCTTTTTCCCCTTGTCCAGTGTCCAGCAATGCCTGCCCAGCTCTCCAGTATACTCAGCATTTCACTGGTGAGCAACTGGTGCAGTCGCCAGCACCAGGAGCCCAGGGGCTGGAGGAGCACAGACCCGCACAGCAGAAGCTGCAGTCAGTGGCCACTAGCCGAAATAAAGCTCCTTCATCCCATCCACCCTGCAGCCTCGGAAAGCTAACAAACAGGAGCTTGTAGGCAGCAGGATTTGGACACAGAACCTTCCAGCCCTCCCTCCCTGTGTGTGGGACACCCCTGGGACGCTCTCATTCCCCCCTGTGCCGCACTGCACGTCCCCAAAGCAGCCGCTGGTAGCAGAAGCCACTCAAGTCAAACAACCCAGCTATGCAAACCCCTCCTGCCCCCCACCAGTAAATCACACGCTGCATTTCTTCCCTGGGACTTGTATCGCGGTTGCCTGAGCTGCACAGCACAACACAAGAAAACTCACAAGCAGGAATTTTACCCAAATTGCTGGCAATACTAGCGCAGTTTAGGGCTCGGGTATATCAGCAGCAGTGCAACTCCTCAGGTCCTAACGCGCTCTCTGACTGCTCCAACCAGGGCAGGGCTCCCAGGAGAGCAGGCAAGGGAGCTCTCTGCAAGGCTACGGTGAGTCCTGACACCCCTCGAGGTGTTCCCCTCCGGGACGTGCTTATGGGTAATGCACCCCAAGACATGGGAAGACGTGCGGGACCATGGGCCACATCATATGGACAGCTTTAACGACAGCTGGATTCAAGCCAGGTCCTCGGGAGCAGGGTTTGCTGACTCCTAAGGCAGAGACCCAACGCTGAGCCCAAGCTGCTGCTCCCAAGGAGGCTCCAGAGAGGACAAACATCCTCGCAGAAGAATAAAAACAACTCGCTGAGCACATTGCAGGCAGCTGGTGTGGAGGGAGAACTCACCCACGACCATGATGTTGAACTCGAACCCTTGCTTCATGGCTTTCCGTCTCATCTGCTCCAAGATGGCATCGATCCCCACGTAGCCGAAGTCGGCAGCCGGTTTCTCCGGCCGCGTCGGCACCGCCTGCTTGGGGCCGGCATCCCGTGGAGCGTCCGTCATGCCGGGTGCGTGGCTGGGAACTGCCTCGGGACCTGCGGGGGCAAAGAGAGGGTGGTCAGGGGTGGCAGGCAGTGCCAAGCACACCAAGATGCTGCTCCTGGCAGGGAATGAAAGGAGCTGCCTGTTGCATCCGAAGCAGGAATAAAGCACATGTGGGGACTCAGGGCACCGGGAGGCTAAGAGGGAGGAGGCATGCGGGATCTTCCTTCACCTGTAATTACATTAAATTTGGGATTCCCCTTCTTAACTTACTGGATTCACCTTGATCCCTGCCCACATCACCAAGCCTGCTGCAGCAAAGGGATGCTGCTACGAGGGGGAGTAGGCACACCAGGTCCCACGAGCAGCCTGTTTGCTGCCACGGAGGGGAACCCAGCACAGAGAAAGTCCTCGGCCCAAGTCTGGGAGCTTATTTAGTGAGTGACAAAGGCTTTTAGCAACACAGCCCTGTGCCCAGGCACTGCCGTTAAAGGCTTGCAGAGCCTGCCCGCTGCCCCGTACCACCGTAATTACAGCGCTGGTGAATGCCTTGCGGCCACGTTTCGGGAAGCTGGATGGCTTTTGCAGGCACAGAAAAGTCCTCCGCATCTACTGACACATGCCCTCCTCGAGCTCCAGCTGACACAGCGCAGAGGTTGCTGGCCCTGGCTTGCAGAAAACCCCAAATCCAACGCATCGGCATCAAAACGAGTCATGCCTGACAACATCCACACAGCCACGAAGCTTTCACGATCCTGGTCTAATTCTGCTGATATCCACCCGAGGAACCCAAACCCTTCGGCTTCCCGCAAAGACAGGGCACTCATCTCCCCTGCAAGACGGCTCCAGGTTAGCAAAGCACTTCAGGAGAAGCAAACGTACACCTACTGCCTCATTTAACACCTTCGTAACGCAAACTGGGGAACCATCCACTCCCCCAGGCACCAGGCAGGAGCATCTGCTGCCAGGAAGGATAAACTGCCCCTGATGCCCTCCCGGGCGACGCAGGCTGCTCCCACCCGGCCCCAGCTGCTCCGCGTTGCCTGCAGCAGACAGAGCAAATACCGGGAAGGCAGAGCATGCACAAGGTCAGCCTGGTCCTTCCAAGCTCCTCTGACGCACGCACGGAGAGAGAGGTTTTCGAAAACACACTTCTGAGAGCCCTCCCCACCCCAGGGTGCTGCTGATCGATGCCTGGGTCCCTGCAACCACCAGCCTAAGCAAGTATTTTATCTGTGTTAAGCTTTTTGCAACACTTATTTATAATTTTTTACTATGTATTATTATCAATACAAACATTCTTATTTGCAAAGGACTTATTGCAAAGCCCTCCCCCTCATTCCTTCAAACAGCAATACGGCGCTCAGCTCCTCTCCTCACCCCGGTTATTTCTGGCCTTTGATGAGGTGCTGCCTGGTTTTCTCTCCCTCCCTCCTTCTGAAGGGATTTGTCCGTGGGAACGTAGCTGGTCCAAAGGGGCTCCCCCAAACACAAGCCCATCATCATCCCTTCTCCTCCGGTGACAGGCAGGAGCCAGGGGTGCAGCATCACATCGGAGCCTGCCAGGGTCTGCAAGGTGGAAATGCTCATCTCCTGCAAGCACAGCGTGCTTCCATGCGCTCAAATGATAAGCCAAGCAGAAAAAAAAAATAAAAATACTAAAAAGCAAATTCAGAACTGATCCCAAAGACTGCTGGGTCACCCCAAGCCCGGGCTGTGCAGACCAGCGTTACCCACAGAGCTGCTAGAGAGCAAACATGCCGTAGCTGACCCACACGGTAGCAACCCGCTCCTCCCGGGGCACCCAGGGATGCGGGTTACTGCACAGCTGGCAACGCACTGCCACGCTGCCCCTTGCCAAGCCAAGGCGCCTGACCGAGGGCTCGCTGCAGATCCCAAATTAGCCTCGGTCCAAAATGGTAAGGCCAAAAGTGGAAAAAAAACCACCTACATACCACTAGGAAAAAAAAAAAAAAAAAAAGGCTAAATCACATGGAAAATATGCTGCCACGGGCAGCAGCAGCGCTGGGTTATGCAATGGTTTTAATTCCTGCAGGCACTGCTCGCACGCCCGGGAAAGAGCCTGAAGCGCATCAGCCCTGCGGGATGGGGCAGCAGCCTGGGAAATTGGTGCAGATAAGGTCCAGCAGCATGCAGAGAGAAATTAAGAAATGAAACAAACGGGAGCAGAAAGCCACCCTCCTCCGCATGCGATAAAGGCCAGGAGCATCCCCAGCATCTCCTGGTTGCTGCTCGGCAGCAGGCAGGGGCCGATCCCCTCCCTGGGCAGGGGGACGTGCAGGCAAACCTGGCCCCGGCACATGGAGCAGATGCTACGTGCTGCTTCGCCACGTCGCCTTCAGCGAGAGAAGGAGGGCTCGGGACTCCCCAGCCCCCAGCAAGACAAAAGCCACAGGAAGCGTGAGGCGATGGCAGGCAGCGGGTTGTACCCCCGGGGCAGGAGCCCGCGGCCGCCCTGCCGCTCGGGATGCGCTCGAGCAGCACAGCCGGTAGCAAGGCCCACGCTGCTTCAGCTCGCCCGCGGGAAAAAAGTGATTTAAAGGACATTTTCTTCTACCACCTGGCTCCTGTTTGGGAAAAAAATAAAATAAAAATGAATATATCGCAACTAGGAGTGTCTGCAGAACAGCAGGGATGCAAAGGCACAAATGCCCTGGCAGCACCAGCAGATTCCCAAGGGAAATGCTGCAACCCTGACCTTCACTTTTCTTTTTAGCTTCCCAGCGCTAAGCTGGTCTTTTCTTAGCCAAGGACTCCAGCAACCCACTTGGCTGCAAGGGGTTTGTGCCAGCAGAGGCAGGATGCGGCCAAGCCGTGGGAGTATACCGTGGCACAGGCACACGAGGATGGGTGGCAGGGAGCACTCCTGGCAGACCCGTGTCTAAAAGAGATTCTAGAAATAAATTGGAGTAGAAGCAACGGCTGCCCAGGACATGTCATGGTCAGATCCTGTACTCATTTGACTCGTCGTGCTCTCTGCGGGGACGGTGTCAAATCTGCGCTGCTCTGGGTGCCAGCATGGCCGAGCCGCCCCCGTCAGCGCACTGCAAGGAGGGGTGGTTTAATAAACCCCCAATATCGTCAGAAATTCCTGATTGCCACCGAGTCCCTGGCAAGAGCAGGATCAGACCTCACGCACCGTTGCTTCACCAGTGCCACCACAGCACGGCTGCTTGTCCCTTCCGTGGGGAGGGAGGCTGGGGAAGCTCGTGGGCTGCTCGTTTTGCTGATGGAAGCAAAGAGCCCAGAGCTGGCAGCTCCCTCCAGCTTGCGTGTTCCTGGATAAACATGAAGCACGTGGGCACACGTGTCTGTGCCATATTTAGACCTCCTCTGCCAGGGAAACCCTCTTCACGTGGGCACAGGAGATGTTGAGACCATCAGGGCAGCACTGCACCGAGTAGGATCAGACCCACGGCTCCAGCCCGGGCGCCAGGCTGACTCAGGACAGCTGCTCCAAAGTTGATTTTGCCAAAGACTCCAGGCTGATGCGCTGTAATTGATGCACGTCAAACACGAGCCAAACCCACCATCTGCAAAGCAGCAGATGAAAGGCACCCCGCAGAGAGGGGAGCCCCAAGGAGCACCCCCCCCCGGGGAACCCCCCGCTCCTCCAGCCAGCTGGACGCCGTGCACGGGCGGCCGTGGGATTGCCTTTGCGAAATGCTGCTGGCGAGGGGCTGCCAGCAAACCGAGGGCTTAGAAATGCTGCGCTGATGCCACACGGCTCCAATAACCCAGGTTGGCTGCGGGGAGGGGATGGAAACGCAGGAGGTGGGCTTGCCCAAAACCCCAAACCCAGGGGCTGGCAGTCTTCATCCAGGATTTGGGGAAGGGATCTGCTGGAGATGGGTGTTTCCACCGCAGATACCCAAAGGTTAACTAACCCTCGCAGAGGCTGAACTGGGAACGTCTCACACACCCCAGCTCCTGGCTAGACCCAGCAGCTCCGTGCTCAGCTCCAGCGATGCACGGGGAGCGGGATGCTGGGGATTCGGGAGGGCAGAGCTGATCCTGGAG